AGGAAAAAATTGGATTTTTCCTGGTTAAAGTTGGATAGGTTTTTTGCCTAAGTTTTGTTGAGAGATTGTGTTTTAGAAAGAAAAAGGTAGAATAAGCTTTTCAATTTAAAACGATCTCACCAAACATGAAAGAAAAATAAATAAATTTAAATGCCTTTTTTTTCTAGATAAATATAAATTGAGAATGCTACAGCAGGAAATAGCTGCTTTTTCAATACGCTTTTATTTATTTATTTATTTTTGGAATGACACCAAGATTTAGCAGCTTTTTCAAAAGCCATTGTAAATTGCACCATATAATATACGCAATAATGAACAGATTTGAACACCAAAACAACAAAGTGAATACTTATATTGCAACGTGCAACACAACAAATTTTGTTAGTGAAAATTGTGTCTCACAATCAATTGCGTATATCCAACTTTAAATCACACGAGTCCTCACAACAGACTATTGCAGCACAAATTTGATTCAGAAGACAAGAACAAGTAGACCTCTCTATATATGCATTAAAGGTAAAATGAAAAGAAAGACATGTTTAGACAGCGGATAATAGCAGAGACAAGTTGTCTTCGTTTACTTTCTTGATGCCGAAGGCTGAGCTTGATTTAATTGAATAGTAGACTTCGGCCGCATGCCAGACAAGACTCTTTGACCATTAAGCAGCCCGCGGGCTCTTTTGCTAGAATGAGAAAATCAAAATCTTTGACAATTGATTTGATTTTCTCTCTGTGGATGTCATTGAAAAACTACTACTTCACGAGTTATTGTAATTTCATCACATGGTTATACCCTATTTATAAGTTATCAAGTCCTTGATTATTAATTCAATGCCAAATTGCCAATGATAATTAATATGGTAAGATTTTTTTTTTTCTTTGAATCGCAAATGCTAATATGAAGTTATAATTTGTTGTACCGTACATCAGATTCTCTCAAAGAAATAAAGAGAAAATGAAAAACAATGGAATATTGCTGGAAATTTCTAATTACAATATTTTAAGATTTCCTTTTTTTGATAAAAGCTATAATTTCATTAAAACCTGCATTAATAACATAAATTATATCGTCAAACATACACAGATATCAAAGATATGAAAAACAATAAAAATTACATTATAAAGCTTCAAATTTAAAAAATGAAATAAAATAATTGTAACTCCATGGACATCTGTGCATGCTTCCAATCACCACATTTTCTAATTAACTGCTTCAAGTCAAGATATTATAGTAAGATTTGCCGAATAGATTCAAGAAATTCCAAATTCGATAATTAAAATCTGAAAAAACTCAGATCTAACAAAAGAAAAGAGAAAATTATCAAAAACTTTCACTAAGAAGCCCTATGAGAGAAAAAAACTCTCACTACAAAATTTAGGAGAGAAGAATTCTCTCACTAGCTAAATAACCCGCAAGAGAAAAGAAACTCTTACTACAAGAAAAATTTTATTCACACAAATGAAAAAAACTATAGAGAAGGTTCTTCTCACGAGAAAAGATCAAAAAAATCTAATCTTTTTCTCATGGGAGAGTTGAAAGGAGTTTTAGTTAGAAAGTTTTTTCTAGAGAGAAGGAGGATTTTGATAGGATATTAGATATAGATTTATATTTTTAAGATTTCCTTAAGTGCAAATAATTTAATTCAAACTTGAACGAATTCAACCAAATGAGCTAAACTTATTACTTTTATTGGATTGCATTATCTGGTCAATGGCAAAGTTTGGATGAGGATTCCACGTTCCAATTAAAAATTAAAAATTAAATCATGAACACTCAAATCATCTCACGTTTTGGTGTCCAAGCCCTATAAATACTCCCAGGCTTGGTTACCAAATTCAGCAAAACTTTCTGTTCAAAAGCCTTCAAAAGAAAACCAAAAAACAAAAAAGAATGGCATTAAGTTCTTCTACGAGGTCCATTGTGGCAACATTTCTTCTGTTTTTCATTGTTCTCTCTCCCATGGTGATGTTACCATCTGAGGCAGCAAGACCATCTCGAGGTAATTAAAGCTTGTTAATTAAGAGTATACACTAACGGTATATATACTATCATAATTAGATGCATGATACATACACAAAATTTGAGTTTCGAGCTCAAATTTAGATTCGTTATCATATATCATACGGTAACAGTGTATGTGCTATTAGTGTACAACAGATTAATCCATTAATATATATCTTATCAAATTAACTTTATTTGTCATGTTAGTTGATCTTTTCTTTGTCCTGTTTATGCATCCAGGACTTCGTCAAAATTGTCCTGCTTGTGTTTGTTGTGCACCACCTCCACAACCAGGCTTTTGTTGCCGCTGTTTCTGTGGTGCACCTAGTGGTCCTATCCAAGGAGAAATTCAAAGCAATATGCCATGAGGGCACCATGCAGCTTGCTTGCCATGATCTGTTGGCATTGAGTTATATTTGTGAGGAAAGATGTATGAAATTAATTAAGATATCATGCAGAATCAGTAGAGTTTGTTGTAACAATAAAGGAGTAATTCTAGTACTCCCACATTTAATTTGAAGATCTTTACTTTGATTGAATGTAATTTGGCTAACTTTTGATGGATGTTCTCGATATTCTTAATTTCATGACGCACTCTCGAAGTTCCTACATCCAAAAGTGTGATCAATCGCTTAGTTTTGCTAAATAAACTAATTTTACATCAATTTTCCAGGACCTTCCTAATTAATTAACAAACATTTTTGAACCTCTCCACTCCTTATTAATTGGTTTTGAGATGAAAATCTAAGCTTATTAGGTCCAAAGTCATTAGCAGTAGGGTTTTTTTTTTTCCTTCCCCGGTCCCTGTGCTAAACTTTGGGGTCAAAGGTCACGTAAATGACTATGTAGCATGCATCCTCAGCAAGTGCAACACGGTTAAAAAAATTTAAAAAAAAAAAAAAAAGAATGAGAGAGAGAGAGATCCTTGTTTTGTTGATTCCTGTGTTACTGTTTTAGTTGTACCTTCAAACAGGTACTTCAATGCTAGTAATTAAGATCTTAAAGACACAATTAGACAGGAAGAAAATGAAAAGGAAAAGGAAGAGGAAAACACTAAAATTTTCTAAACTGCTAAGGGTACTTTTGCCCGTCAATGTAAGAGGGTTCACTGAAATTAATTGATTCTCAAAGATATATAGATTGAATGTCGGAATTAGAATTTATTTTCCCTTCTTCATAAACTATGTTTGCTACTCACATCGCTTTTAGTTTATAAAAGCAAGTTCAAGACTCTAGTATTCAAGTTTTGTTTCACTGGATAACTATGTATGACGCCTAAGCAAAAGCTTAAAAAGCAAAAACACTTTCGTAAAGAGTTATTTCATATTACCAGTGACACTGCTATACATTTGGCCAATAATGTGGAATGTTGACGAGGTCAGGTTTCCACTCTGACCCACAAAGCAAAAGCAGGCGTAATGAAAATTGAGATAGGAATCTTATACTAATGTTCATTTTCCCTCTGGTAAAGGTAACTTGGTTATGTTCTGCTGAATATCCTTTATCTTCATGCACTTGTCATAAACCGTTAGAAGAAAACACTGAAAGTTTAACAGAAGGGTGTGTTTGAAAAACAAAGAAACGAATTTTGTGAGTGTTATTGAAGAGGCTTATACTCTAGTTTAACAGAATTGAAGTTTGGGGGCTTTTTACGATTCTTAGAAGAGAAGGCAAAGTTAATCTGCCACTGCAGTTGTAAGATATGCATCCCAGGGTGGTAATATAGGTATAGAGATGGGAAATCAAACTCTGGGCTAACGCAAGTAAATCCGTTTTAGGCGCGTTTTCTAATATGTTCTTTAACTCTGCTTTTCAAGCAATGGGTATGGGATCTCGTGATAAAGGAGCTGCATAAGAGATTGCTGTTTGGAGCTGGAAAAATGCAATAAAGTTGAATGTGGCCTTTACGTACTAAATAATTTGGTTTGCCATTCTTCTGAAGCATAAAACATTTTCAATTAGCACTTACTTTTTTTTTCCGTCTTTGATATTAGATTTCCCACGTCTCTCTGCCTGATTGTAAAACCATTTGCCTCAAAACCTGCTTTCTTTTGACTGGATTATTTGCTCTTGTTTAAGAAGCTACAGGATCTTACTAGAAGGGAGAATGGGACAATGGAATTGAAACTTTCTTCTAAGATCACTTAAAAGGACACTCGGAGATTGGCAAATATTTGATTCACTGAGGAGGAGTGTGGATTTCTTCTTGCGTGAGTAAAGTTGGAATCATCCTTTACGTACAAACAGAATATAGATATCTTGTAAAGTCATTGATTCCTTACCTGTAGACAATATGTAGGGTCTAGCAGATATTAATCTGGCTTTGCAACTGCAATTAAAGGATTAATAAGAGCCTCTTCTACATTTCCGGTTCTTACTCTTCTTGAAAAACAAAGCTTTCTTAGAATAGATGGCTGACGCTGTTACCCCTCTTGTTATTGAGAGACTTGGCAATCTTCTGATTGAAAAAATTGGTTTTCTGATAGGTGTTCGACAAAAAGCTGAAAGACTCAAAAATGATCTGGTCCAGATGCGGTGTTTCCCGAAAGATGCAGATCAAAGGCAAGATGAAGATGATGGGATTCGCAACTGGGTTTCTGAAATCAGAGCTGCTACCTAAGATGCGGAGGATATCATTGAGATCTTTGCCAGCAAATTTGAGTTCATAGAATATAAGGGATTCATCAACAAATTGGCACATTGACCCTTGAAAATTGTGAACCTCTACAAGATTGGTAAAGAGATCAAATCTTTACAGATGAGGCATGGTTCAATGTCGCGGTCGCGGCCCGGACCATTCCACATCGATCTCAGCATATCGGTCGTGGTCTCGACGAGATGCGAATTTTTGAAATATTTAATATTCTAAAAATTGTAAAAAATATGATAAAAAAATAATTTAAAAATTAGTAAAAATAATAAAAATTCGAATTGATTCGGGGTGATTCGGTCATTTCAACCCTTCACAGTGACGACTCGACAAGTTAAGTATCTCGGAATTGTATCGTTCCAATATCGTATCGGAAAGGCCCGAGATAATGATGACTAGGCGAAGTCGTCTCGGACTCGGAGATGACTCGGCCGAGTCTTTGAACCATGGGCTCAATGAAACTGATGATAGCTGCAAAAGGTATGGTATCAGAAATCTTGGAGAAGGGATGAATTCGCATGGAGAATAGCTCCAACGCCTTCGGCGAACCTCTCTTTTCAACGAGGACAAGGATATAGTGGGTTTCCAGAAGATAACACAATCGCTCGTGGCAGAACTTTTGAAAGAGGACCAAAATCGCTGTGTGGTTTCAATCGTTGGCATGGGAGGTGCTGGTAAGACCGTAAGACAACTCTAGCCAAAAAAGTTTATAACCATGCTGATGTCAGGACAAGATTCAACTGCCGGGCTTGGGTCTGCATCTCTTCCAGCTACAATCACAAAGAGACGCTGAGAGCAATCATAAAGCAATTGAATCCGATAACTAATCAGCTACTTGAAATGTTGGAAAGGATGCAAGAGCAAGATTTGGAACAAAAGCTCCATCAAGATCTACATGATAAGCGTTATCTTGTGGTACTCGATGATATATGGAAGGAAGAAGGGTGGGATTGTCTTGCCAGGGCCTTTCCTGACGTTAATACATCAAGTAGATTGCTACTTACAAGTCGTAATCGCGATGTTGCCAAACACGCAGATGCTCTGAGCCACCCACATGAGTTGGAAACTTTGGGGCAGGAAGACAGCTGGCAGTTGTTTCTCAATAAGGCCTTAGGCCATGGAGCTAATGTTGGGTGTCCTCTGGACTTCCACGAAGTAGGCCAAAAGATTGCAAGGAGATGTGCCGGTCCACCACTGGCAATCACAGTTATAGGTGCCCTGCTCCTGGGCAAGAAGAAGTTGGAGAGTGAATGGGAGAAAGTTCTCAACAACATTAATACATACCTATCAAGGAGCAAGAGTAGAGTATCAGCAATTCTGGAATTGAGTTATGCAGATCTTCCTCTCAATCTAAAATTTTGCTTTTCGTAATTGAGCTTATTTCCAGATGACTGTGATTTCCGTCATCAAGTTGATCCATATATGGATTGCAGACGGAGTAATGCAGAAAAGAGATGCAGAAAATTTAGAGGAAACTGCAGCATATTATGTGGAACAACTTTTTAGCAGAAATATGGTTCAGGTTGCAGAGACAGCTGTTGATCAGAGGATTAAAAGCTGTCATGATTTATTGCGAGAATTTGCAATCAGCAAGGCAAAGGAAGAAAATTTTTTTCAGATCCATGAGATCAGGGATGGTGAAATATTAGCAGAATCCAGGTACCTTGCTATTCATATCCCCCCATAGGATGAAAAATATTTCGGCTCTTCAACCCCTCGTCTCTGGTCTCTACTTTTTTTTAATGCTCACGCTTACTGGGGAAAGGTTAGTCTTAGCTTCGAAACTTTCGGAAAGCTTAGGATAGTAGACCTTGAGAATGTTAGGATTAATTCCGTGCCAGAAGAAATTGGTGAAGTCAGGTTTCTGAGGTACCTCTGTTTAAGAAGCACATTAATTGAAAATCTCCCTCATTCCTTACGTTGCCTACGAAACCTACAAACCCTTGACACACACGTGTATTGGTTTGAAAAACTGGAAGTTCCAAATTTCATTTGGAAGCTTGACAGTTTACGGCATCTATATGCGTATAAGATGACATGTAATGAGTCTCTTAAAATTGAAGGATTGAGGAATCTCCTAACTCTGTCATGCATACACTTCGATCACATTATGCATAACAACATGACAACTTTGACAAGTCTTCGGAAATTGGGGATTATAGTAGATTAGAGGTCAGACATAGATAAATTCTGCCTGCATTTATCTAAGGTTGAAAGCCTAAGGACCTTACATCTTCAGACTCAGTGGGGAGGGCCACAATCTCTAGCTGGACTTTCTAAGCTCCATCATGTAACAGAGCTTAAGCTATCCAAAAGGATGATAATGCTCCCTCCCAATTTCCCTACAAATCTCTCTCGCTTGTCTTAGAAAGAAACATCTCTTTTTGATGATCCAATGCCAATACTAGAGAAGTTGGGACAGTTGTCGTGCCTCAAAATGAAATCTGCATATCAGAGACAAACACTAACCATTTCTAGGCATGGCTTTCACCAATTGAAATTCCTTGTGCTCAGAGACCAAGAAGACTTGCGTGACATGCAGGTGGAGAAAGCTGCACTGCCACAGCTCCAGTGCCTGAGAATCAGGAACTGCCGCTCATTACGCGTGTTGCCGAAAGAGCTGAAGCACATATCTACTCTTGATAAGCTTGAGCTTGTGGACATGTCAAAAGATTTTGTCAGTAGGCTTGATGCGGGGTTGGTATCCAATGTCCCTTACCTCAAAATATTTTGACTCCTGATTGCATGCACCTAGTTTTCTATCTTCGATCCTGGTTTGGTGTTGGTTGCATTGGCTTAAGAGGTGGCAAAATGGGTGAGATGGGCGGGATTTGCTTAGATTCGAAACGGAACCGAATCATATAGGTTTGGGTCTAACCTTACTCATATGTGTTTTGGGGCTAATTTAGGCGGGATCACTTTGAGATGGGTTTAGATTGATCCCGCCCAATACCCAAATCTATTTTTTATTTTTTTTTCCTTTAATTCTTTTTATTTTTTATATAACTTTAACATTTTTATTTATTAAATTTCTTTTGATTTTATTGTGAATTTATATTTTTCTGAATTCATTTACACTCTAGAACGATCAACAGTTACTTTTAAAAGACATAACATTTTGGTAAGAATGAACATATCTTCTCCCTGAATTAAACCAAAAATTGGATTAACAAATAAAGAAAAAGATAGATATACAGCCATATTCCAACCTTACCCATAATGTTGTCTGACACAAGGACTAGAAACAAGATTTTTTTAACACCAAATTCATTCTTGCTGACATTCTTAAAATTTCCAAAATTTGATACAAAAGAAATTCACATTAAATGCTGAATAAAGCTAGCACAGAAATGAAGAAGTTGATTAAAAATTGATAACAGGGTTGCATATAGAAATCTATGTAGATAGTTCAACAATTAGCATAAAATCAACGTAAATGATGCCAACAGTTAGTAAAGCATTGATTCTTGTAGACACCAAAATTTTACCAATTCATTTTATTTTTATTGTTATCTTTATTTTTTTAAAGTTGTTTAAATGAAATCATTTTTACTTAACTGGTTTTCTTTTGTAGGAAAGTGAAGAAAGGAAAAGAAAGAAAATGGAAGTGAAAAAAAATCAGATTTTTGCAAAAAAAAAAAAAAATCAAAGATGAATTTTTAGATAAATGAAAATTTTTTGGAAGATATTTGGGCCCAATGGGTACCCAAGTATTTTTCAACATTTCCCATCAAATAATGGGTACAATTAGGATGCATCCCATTTTAAATCCAATACCAAATTATAATACCCATCCCGCCTAAAGTCCTTTTGGGCATGGGTAGCCCATTGAGACTTGGGACAAATTGCCACCTCTATATGCAATAAATAGTCCAAGATTGTTGACTGTTTACAAGTTCGACAATCCCTTTTAACTCTTCTTGATTACTGGTTTTTCGATTCAATAACATGTTATGTATTGCCTTGAAGGAAATGTTCATAGTTCACGAAAAAAGGAAGCATAATTTTGCGTATAAAAATTTTTATTTTATTTTATTTTAATTGTTGGACTCAAAAGAACTTCATAAAACAAGGGCTAATTACAAAACTGCCCTTAGAGGTTGGTCAAAGTTGCAGTTTAACCCCAAAAATTACCTCCTATTTCACTCCAACTCGTCGAATTAACTAGTAAAATAGTTGAGTTAACAAAAATGCTCTTCTGCATGGTTTATGCATAAAAACCCCAAGATTCCTTAGAAGTTCAAATTACAAGATATTATTTTTACTAAAGAATAATTTTTTGAACTTTTTGGATAAAATAATTTGAAATCCTAATTTTGCTACCCAAAATTATCATGCATGTTATTAATTTAACTGGGAAAACACTAAATTTTGTAAATATATATATATATATATATATAAAGGAAGAAAAATATATGTTGTATGTTCATTAAAATGCCTGATCAAATCTTCTTTCTACCTATAATCACATGACTTGATAAATTATTGGATTAATCTTCTATATACTAATAGTGTATACACTGTCAGTTTTGAATGAATGATAATTATTTAAATTTTAAATTTAATTTTTGCATATATGTCATGAATCCAATAGTGATGATGTATACACTGTCTGTATGTATATAATTAACTCTTATGGATTAATTTTCTATATACAAATAGTGTAGACACCGTTAATTTTAGATGAATAACAATTATGCAAAACTTAAATTTAAAATTCAACTTTTGCATATGTGTCATAAATCCAACAGTGATAGTGTATAAACTGACAGTAGATATATAAGATTAACTCTTTTTTTTATAAGTAGGATGTTTTGAACCGAGAATCTCCTACTTATAATCTCTTCCACCTTACCACCCCTCCCTCCTTATATAAGATTAACTCTTGTAGATTAATCTTCTATATACACTGTTAGGGTCTGTTTGATAACATAAAAAAGTACTGAATCTGAATTTTTTCAGACATTCAGATGTTTTAAGTGTTTGATAAATGAAAATCTATTTGCTGAACTTATTAAGTAGTGCTGAACCTGTGTGTATTTTTTTCAGCACAATAATCCTAACTGAATGCTTAATTCTGATAAGAATCAATAGAATTACTTCAACTACCTTATCTTATCTACCAAATCTACCCTTGTTTGTTAATTATATTCAAAATTCTTATCTAATTAAACAACCTAATATTCTCTATCTAACGATTTTTAGTTTCTCTTTTCTCCCTTTTTAATGACTTTCACATCTTCTCCATATTCCTCATATAATATATTTCATCTTTTATATTAATTTGATTTAAAAATAAATATTGTCATTTTCATACCTAACAATTTTAAACTAATCAAATCATAGATTCTATTTCTTTTTTGAATGAAAGGATATAAGGGCAAAATTGTCAAATTAAACTTATTAAGCATTCAGCTATAAATATTTATCAAACAGTATAAATAGGTTTAGCATTAAAATTCAGACATTCACATTTTTTTTCAATGCTTAAAATTCAGCAAATTAATTGTTTCAGTATTCAGATTTCAGAATTCAAACTTCAAAATTCAGATTCAGTTTTATCAAACGGAACCTTAGTATATGTGTTACTCTAGCCAAGGCCAATGATAAAATTAAAACCTTCAAACTTTAAAAAAATTGCATTATTACAAATTACACTTTAGCATGTGATACTTATAATCTCTTCCACCTTACCACCCCTCCCCCCTTATATAAGATTAATTCTTGTAGATTAATCTTCTAGATACACTGTTAGTATATGTGTTACTCTAGCCAAGGCTAATGATAAAATTAAAACCTTCAAACTTTAAAAAATTGCATTATTACAAATTACACTTTAGCATGTGATACAAAACTCTCAATATATCTTAACTATCATATTCTAAAACTGACCCTTAATTTCCCTCACCTAAGGAAAACAAATGAAAAAGAAAAACATGAGCTTATCCTCCTTGAAGTTTTAGGTTTTAAAACATTTGAACCTCCAAAAATTACTTGTAAAAGCACTTCTCAATAATATATACCAAGGGAACAAGAATTTCACAATACATTCAATTGATACACGTTGAGGTTCAACAAACAACAAAATTACACAAAAAGAGTCATACAATTTAACACATGAGAAGTATTGATACAGGTTCTATAAGTGGCTCCCACTTTTCAAACATATTACTTAGCCCCGCTCAGTATTTAACTTCCAATGAAAAACATGAACTGATACAGGCTCTAAAGGTGGTTCTTGTCCATTTTCAAATATAGCACTTAGTCCCGCACAGTATTCAACTCCACAAGCAATTCCAACTCCAAAAAATATAACAGTCTCCAACTCCAACCATAACAAGAGGAAGTTATCTCGAGATGCCCAAATAACACTCTGCACACCCATAAGCCCCCAAGCATCCTGACTAACAAGTGGGTAGCGAAACCATGGTAACGAAAGTGTTTCGACCAAGCCTAATACTGGCACATAGCAGGCCCAGTTCTCCCCGATGTGGTAAAGTACATAACCGAATTTACAAGTATGCACATGTAACTTCAGGTATGATTCAACTTTCCAATGATATTTGGATAGAGTATTAGTTGAAATATTATTTGCAATAATTATTACTATAGCACTTTTTGTGATGTGATGTATGTGAGATAAAAAAAGTAGTTAGAAATATAATAAAGTGGATTGAAAAATGTGTTTATGATACAAGTGAAATATTATGTTAAATAATTCAGCAATCCAAACACATAAGTACTATATTATGATAAGAAGAAGTTCAATCACATCAATGTTTTGAATAACATCCCCCCATGTGATAAAGTACACTATGGGTTTCATCAGCATTCACAGATAAAATTTACAAGTAAATTGAGAAAATAAATAGGTTAAAGGAGGAGACACATGTAGACTCTCCACGGACTTTCTTTTACCAAGAATGAATTGTGGTAAATGTCACTTAATATCAAATGAAGGTAAATTAATCAAATATTTTACCAAGGCTAAAATCACAATTTAGCATATTAAGAGATTACCCCAGTTATTGGAGATAACATTATGGCTAAGGATCTTACTTTAAAACCATGCATGAACTTCCAAAGTACACATTTATGGATAATATCAAGATTGGGAACGCTTCTGCTGGCAGCTATTAATTTACACAGAGAGAAATTAAGGGTTCAAAAAGTGGACAAGTCTTGCCAAGGGGTAAAACTCACCCAAATATAACATGGCACTAGAGGCATCTTGGCCGTGCTCTGTGCCCCTTAGAAGTTTAGTTAAACATAGAGCAATAAATCTTTTTGTTAAATAATTTGAGCATCAAAACAATTAAAATTTGCTATGAAGAGAAATTCCGTTTATGAAATTAGTCCCCTATTTATCGTGATTTGGACAAAGATTTTTGAACCAATACCATGCGTGCATAATAATACCAAAAAAAGGAGAGATAATAAGTACACTACATTGTCAATTTAATAGCAGCATAACTTTAATTGTGACTAAACCAAAAGTAGTCATAATACTTCTAGCAGTTTAATAATTAGAAAAAGTTTAGAAAGTTGCCAAAATCTGTCACAATTTTCAACATCAATAAAACATACAAACTTGCACATTTTTCTATCCTTTTCAAAACATACAAACCTACACATTGGTTTTTTTTTTCTTTTTCAAAGAAAAAGCGAGTTGTTAATCCATCCATTTAAATCCTTTTTAATAGCATTACAAACAAGTGATAACATTATCTGCCA